CCTTGACCAGGACAGTTGCGTTTCTAACCCAAACGAACTTAAAATTGTTGAGTTTGGCGGCTTCGCGGCATTTACGAAACAAATTTTTGTTTCTCAATGTCAGGTGTTCATTTAGGTAGATGCGGGATGAAGTCCCTGAGAGGCCGATGCGGTCAGTAGTAAGTCCCTTCGATAGCCGGTATGCCTTGAGAAGATTATCCCGCTTTATCCGAGAAGTAAATTTAACTATAATGTTTTTAGGTCGACTGGCCTGCGCATGAGCATGCGGAACGCGGTGGATAGATATAAGATCGCTAGGGGCTATTGAGACATTGACTGCCGAGCATATTGACTCAAGCATAGAGATTAGGTTCTCACTTCGCTTTTCAGGCAAATTTGCAATTTCTATGTTACACTGTCGAGCCCGCTGTTCAAATGCATCAAACCTTCCTTCGAAAATTTTCTTAGCAATGTCCTCAGAGTCGCCCCTCCTCGATTCCAACTCCTTCAGGCGCCTATCACAGTCTGCGTAATTATTTAAGTCAAAATTTACTGAAGACTTTAGATCAGCCACTTCCCGCGAAATTTCAGTATATTTACTGTGCAAGTCTGAAATATCTCTCCTCATGCGTGAATATTCCCCGCGAAGCTCCTTAACCTCATTTTGAATTTGGGAAGAAGTAGCTGATAGTGCAGTTAAATCTTCTCGGAGGTCGTTAATACACGTATTTACATTAAAAAATTGGTTGTTCATGTCGGATCGAAGATCCAAAATAGCCTTTTTCAACTCCATAGACAATGCACTTATAGCATGGGTAAGTTCACAGTCCGGGTGCTTGCGCTTTCCATAGGCAACATTGAGACCAGGTTCTAGACTTGAGTGCAGGTCTGGATTCGACTTGCATATCTTATTGACTGGTGAACCCGATAGTGACATGACGCAAGTAATATCACCCGTGTTAGTAGTCTATGAAGATAGATGTAATAGATAGTACCGTAATTCGTTGTGTAGTTTCCACGCACAGTTGGCTTAGTGGCGTAAGGCGTCCTCACCCGTCACTGCGCGATGCGTCGCTGGTTCGCGCCCCACGATCTGCACTACTTTTTGTGATTCTTCAAAAATTGTTGAAGCGTTTTCTGGTAAGCTTGAGCGAAAGAGACGCCGCAATACAAGCCCCAAGATGGCGCAGGCAGCATATGGCACTTTACTCAAGATAGTACGAGAGGGGCCGATAAATTAAGGAAACCGAGCAAAAGCAATCAACGCAGAGCAAGCAAAATAAAAGTAAACAAATCGACAGCACGTTTGCCCTCAGCTAATTCTCGAGACGAACTGATTATATGCAGGACAACGTTTGTCGGGTCCGCTAGTAAAGTTTAGTTTCTATGGTTGTTTCTATAAATTGTGTGTACCTCAGCTTTATTAATATTTGTGAGGATGCGTAGAAGTTGGTATATTAAAACAGTTACCGTAATGTCTGCTACGTCAAAGGGCTGAGTACACACGCAACTTTAACTTTTCACAAGTTAATATGTGTATTACAACACAGTTTTTGATTACATTTCTCTAGACTAGGTTTTTAGTATACACTGTGTTTATTAGTTCGTGGTAAATTACAGGTACAAGTTAATCATCTACTTACCACTTACAAATGCCGATTATAGTCACTTTATCACAACACTACAGTTGATGTCAATATCTTAGATACGTGTCAATATAGTAATGATCACTTGAATCATCTGAATTTTATACGTAAAGCAGCAAACTCGGCGAACTCCGTTTCGCCACCAGATGGCGTTTTATGTAACATTTCTGTTGGTGATTAAAAGTGAATTTCCTTTGCTATAAACCTCACAGAGCCCGAGACCTTCCCAACGAATGCAAAACCTTGGAAATCGGTTCGTGCGTTCTGGAGTTAAAGGAAAGTCTATCTTATTTTTATATAGCTGATTAAAGTAACTTATTTTAGGACTTTAGGTAAGGTAAAGGCGTATGATATTCCTTAATTCATGAATTCGGAGGATTCTCTGCTCTTGTTTATAGATCCCGCGTAGCGGACTACTGCCTTAACACTTGTCAATGGTTCTAATTCACGTGCAAACTTAGCTTGCACGATGTACAATTTTTTACGTGACATTTTCCGATGGTGATCTGCGGGAGTAGGACTAATATATGCTGCCAAAAAAGTTAGAGTTAGCGGTACGGCTAGTAAAATACATTTGGCATCACTCTTATTCTATCTGCGGGTCACATGTCGATTAAATATCATCGTGCACCTAACAAGCACGGCTCCGGCACGGCACCAACCCAACAATTAACTGGTCATAAATGTTTAATGAATATGAACTTTAATTCATACGACGTATGATGTATTTCATGCCAAATCCAGAAATTGTTGTTACGGGTCTGGGTGTCATTGTGTATGTGAACTTGTATGTTTGTAAATGCACCCACGACACAGGTGAAAATCCTAGTGTGGGAGCAACGACTTTATTGACGTTATAATTCTTTAATTTTTTTCGTCAATATAAAAACTGTAAACGCGCCTTGCTTATTAGGTGTACAACGACGTTTAGGATCCAGCATGCCGATTTTTACTTTGGAAACAATACGAAACGGTTGCCGGAACCGTGCCTTTTATGTGTGTCACCTTAATCCTTTTCAATTGTGACCTCGAACTCGCTAGCCTAGTCGCGGAGAACATAACGGGTAACCGGGGCTCCGGCTCGACGTGCAGGAGAAGGAACGGGGTGGTTTTTAGTCAGTAAGAGTCTGACACTCCCTTCCGCCTCACCCAGGTAGTCATTCGATGATGTTCCCCCCTTAAAAAAAAACTCGCTAGCCTAGCTTGGAAACTTTGGCAAACATTCTCATGTAGTAGATTAGTAGTCCGCCAGCAGTAGACTCTCACATGCTGATGATGTAAATGATGATGATGATCTATTTTCTTATGTGGTCAACAGATTCATAATACGAATATAAAAATAATATTGTGGCCGTATCAGGCCTTTGTCCATCAGTGGACGTCTTCCGGCTGTTGATGATGATGATGATCAGGCATGTATGTCGTGTTGGCCCAGAGGTTCTAAGACTGCCACTTCTCATGCATGAGGGTGCGGGTTCAAAAACTACTAATAGCGAGTACAAATGTGACTTTTTCCGAGTTATAAGTACTTTCTAAAATTATTTAGACATCACTGATAAACGGTGAAAGAAAACATCGTGAGGAAACCTGAACTTAGAATTTGTAATTATAAGTTTGAATTCGACAACCCGCATTGGGCAAGCGTGATAATTAATGATCAAACCTTCTCCGTGTGAGAAGAGGCTTTTGGTCAGCAGTGCCTACTTAGTACACTAGCTTTTACCCGCGGCTTCGCTCGCGTCACAAAAGGATAAAAAATAGCCTATGTGACATAATAACGATATACACAGCGCCATCTATACCAATACTTTTGTTTTCCCTCGGGTATATCACATTTTTCCGGGATAAAAGGTACCCTATTATTTAATCTGGACTTCTAACTTTATGTTAGTAAATATTCAAAGCAATCGGTTTAGTAGTTACGGCGTGAAAGCGGAACAAACAAACAAACTCACTTTCCGATTTATAATATTAGTAAGGATAATGTGATCAGGCATTATTATGGCTAGTGCTCAAACGCAGAGGCTTATGATCGGAAATCGCAATTCTAATAATTAAGTTCAACGAAGAGAAAGATTATGGGGATTAGATCCAACTTTTCACTGAGATGAATAAATAAATGCTACATTCAATGCTATCTGTCGCGCTGGTTCCATCTTGTTCCAATTAGATTTTAATTGGACATTTCAAGAATTCACCGTTGTTAATAAAGTCTTATTCCTTCTGATACGAGGAATAAGATAGATTTAAATCTGTTCTCAATTAATAATTATTGTCTTCAGTTCTAAGTTATGTATTTGTATCTCGAGACTGCAAACGCGATAGTCGACGGGTCTCAGTTGAAATACCAAGCAGAAATATATTTTTCAATATTGTAATTATCTTTGTCGGTAAGATTAATATATTATTATTTATGTTACCTACTCATACCAAATGATAACTTTCTAGTATCTTTAGTTAAGAACTATGGGTATTCCTACGTTTCCCTATTGTCTACGGAACCCTAAAACCTGTAGAGAAGTACCTACCCTGTACCTAGTACGTTAACCCTGAGCCATCATGACATATTTTTAACCAACCTCAAAGAAACGAGGTTCTCTGTTTGACCCTGTATGTATGTATATATCTATGTATATTTGTTTGACTGAACCGATTTTGATGCGGTGTTCAGAAAAGCGTTTGTTACACTTAGACAGTCTTTACCACAAGGGCACTCGGGGCCCGTTACCTAGGACCCCCATTCTCAGGGGCCCTGAAGGACCAACAATTTTTACAACGGACATACACCCGCTACAAGTTACGCGAGCCGGGTCCGATTCCCGCACGGAACATATTTTTGTGTAATTTTTTTTTATGGCATAAGCCTGTAAACGAGCGTACGGATCTCCTGATGGTAAGCAATCGGCGTCGCCCATGGACACCTAGAACACCAGAGGCGTGACAAGTGCGATACCGGCCTTTTGGGGATTAGGAGTTTAAGGATCGTTGGGGATTTAGGAATTGAGGAGATGGGGGAAGGGTAATTGGGCCTCCGGTAACTTACCTACACGACGAAACACAACGCAAACGTTGCTTCACGTCGGTTTTCTGTGAGGACGTGTTATCACTTCGGTCGAGCCGGAGTGATACCATCCGATCCACAAATTGGTGTGTTTATAAATGCATCCACGTTGCACTGCACACAAAAAAAGAAACATGCTACAGGAGCCCCGAATTATTTTGTGCCCAAGGGCCCCTGCGTAGTCTAAGACGGCCCTGCACTTAGAAGAAGGTTTTAGTATAATATTAATTAAGCGACTTCAAAAAAGAAGGGGTTGAAGTCGGCTTTTTAAATGTAGCTTACAAATTAATAATGCTATGTTTATTTATTTTTAGGTATGCTCATTATTGAGCTGAGAGCTATGCGCAACCGAGAGGCGAGGATCCCTTGCAGCAACAGCAAGATCGTTCTCGATGGTCCAGGAGCACAGGTGATCTGGTTGAAAAACGATAAAGATATAAAATATAAATTTCCTAACGCAGACTATGAAGATGGGTAAGTTTTTGTTCTTCATTTTGTGATTTTGGATTTTTTCTGGCACATATTTTGTCCTTTAGCGACGTCGATGGAGATGGTAATATAATTGATAATTTAGTAGCCAAATGAATCAGTAAACGATTATGATTCCTGAGAGTGAGCAGGATTCCCAAAATCATTGAGTAATTTGTGTTTCATAATTCGAAATGAAGATAAGATCTTTGAAGCATCTAAGATCTCCGGTTTAAATACGAGTAGTGTGGTAGCAATACCGTTGCCGAGCAACGTGTATAGGTTTCCAATCACAGGCTATGCAGACTTACAGTGTATCAAGTGTATCACGTGTATAATCATCAGCAGTCCATGATAGTCCTTTGATGAATTGAGTGGACTGACCTCCAGAATACTTGAAGGTATACCATAATTGCCGCAAGCGGGTTAGTGATCGCAATTTAAACCCGTTGTGTTGCTTCGATACTTACTATTTAAGTACATATAATACGATACGATAACTTGCATATGAATATGACACACATCCATCAAAACCATGTTAAGAAAGTATTGAAACTTAAAACATACACTTAGTTAGTCCTCGTAGCATTCATAGCATTGAAATAGTGTGATCGATGTACCAACAAGTTAAACTGTCAATCACCGCGAGGACACCGGTGACCTATTGTTCTTTAATTGTGTCTATAATGACGGTACTCAAAGGGCTAGGATGATATTCCAATCACAACACAACATCACGCCTTTTATCCCCAAAGGGACAGGTAGAGGTGCACATTATGGCACTTAATGCCACTGTACAATGTAACACCCACTTTTCACTATTTATGTTATGAGTGCCATGTTATAGGGGTGAGCCTAATGCCATATACCGGGCACAATTTCAGACTTCTTTCCAGACTAATACTGAGATTTTTTTGAAGATAAAGATATATTTATTTATTAAAACATGAGTAATTACAATGAAGGTGTTTTTTGGTTAGTACAGAGTCTACATGTTTTAAAAACCTTTAAAAAAACCGTTAGAACCCAATAATACTTTGCTCGACTTGGGAATCGCACCCGAGATCGCGACCACTCGGCCAACGAGGTATTATATTCTAATTGTGGATACTAAATTGATCAGGTATACCGAATGCCAATCGAATAGCGCGATGACAATTATCGCTGGCGGAACATTCCTGAACAACACTTATATAGTATACAAGTGTGGGAGAGCCATACTTCGGCACAAATGGGCCGGCTCGACCGGAGTGATACCACGGCCTCACAGAACACACAGTTTCATCGTGTGAGTGAGGTTACCGGAGGCCCAATTACCCCCCTCCCTAGTCCTCGTCTCCCGAATCCCCGAATCCTCCACGATCCTCAAATTCCCAATTCCCAAAAGGCCGGTAACGCACTTGTAACGCCTTGGTGTTTCGAGTGACCATGGGCGGCGCCGATTGCTTACCATTAGGTGATCGGTCTGCTCGTTTACCGGCTTATGCTATAAAAAATACATATAGGTATATAGAAGGGAACGCGACTGTGGTTATTAATGTTATAAACGTTACATGTATCTAAAATAACATAAGGGGTTAGCAGATACATTAGTTGTATTATGACGTTGTGAGTCCCAATTCCCGTGTAATCAAAGGTCAGCATATTGCCATACACTTTTTTTTAATGAGAGAATATCATTGAATGACTTCTCCTGCCTAAATGAGCCGAAAGGGAGTGTCAGACTCTTACTGACTAAAAACCACTCCGTTCCTACTCCTGCACTTCGAGCCGGAGCCCCGGTAACCCGTTAAGTTCTCCGTAGCTCCATTCCGACGTCAGCCCTATTGAGCCCCATCCGTGGTGGTCTGAATGCGACGCGCCGGACGCTCGGGTCTGGTTCTGGTCGGGCGGCGAGTCACCCATGCTCGCCATCCGCAGGCCTATAGTACATACAGCGCGTCGCGTTACGCGATCCGAGAATATCCCGCGATCCCCGACGCCCGGAGTGTCCTTCGCATTGCCATACACTAGGCCCGATTCCAAACTCCAAACCAGTGAAACAAGAGGTGACTGCGCGCTTTGATTCCCGCCGGAACAACTCTTTGTGTTGCAACAAATTGTTGTTTCTGGCCTGGGTGTCATGTGTATGTGAAATTGTATATTTGTAAACATGCCCTCGACAATGGAGAAAGTCTTAGTGTTGGGTGGTGTGGCAACGTTTTTTTTTTTTTAATAAAAATAGGGACAGGTTCGAAACCAACTGACAAAGTAGCAATTCCAATTTTTCGAAGTTACATGTACTTACTTCTAAGTTTATTCAGACAAACGGTGAACTATAACATCGTGAGGAAAACAGAACTTTGAATTAATTATAAGTTTGAATTTCACACTTCCTATAGTCTTCCTTCCCAAAATATAGTCTTTTTAAAGAAAGAAGAAAACTTAATGTGGAACAATCAGGAAGAAGTACCTACATGGGCTCCAATATCTAATACTACCTGAAAGGTAGTTAAATAACGATTCTATAAATAGACACTTACTTATTATAATTTGCTGAGCTTCTATCAGTAACCGTTTACATACAGTGGCAGTCACAACCATGAACTCAATACGTAATATTAATATTGATTTAAGTTCACAAAGAGGAAGAAATTAATTAGAAAGATAATTAACTAATTGTACATAGTTATTAGTAGCCAACAATGAACAAATAAGGATTATTTCGAATCCTCGAAAATGGTTTTATTGTTTACTCTGATGATAAATACAAATAATAAAAAAGTTAAAAAGTAACATAACATAACAACACGCCTTTTATCCCCGAAGGGGTAGGCAGAGGTGCTACATTGTACATTACGGCACTTAATGCCACTGTACAATGTAGCACCCACTTTTAACTATTTACGTTATAATAAGTCCCATGTAATAGGGGTGGGCCTATTGCCATATATCGGCCACAATTCCAGACTACGTGCTACTACCGAGATATTTTGAAAAAGCCTAGTAATACTTTGCCTGACCCGGGAATCGAACCCGAGATCCCTTGCCGCAATTGCGACCACTCGGCCAACGAGGCAGTTAATAAGACGTACACGTCCTGAAACTATCCGTAGTCACAATTAGGTACGAACATCTTATTGTATGTAGGTAGCAATAAATTGATTAGTCAGATATGTATATAACTGGTATGTACCTCTATACTTTGAAAACTTTCTTTTCTTCACGACGTTTTTCTTTACGAAGTCTCGACACATTCAAAAGACGTTTTCGATGACATTTCAATCAAATTTCGGTTTTTCTTGGAATTATATCTTCTCTGTTGTAGGTCATGTCCATGTCATAAATATTGTGTTTGTGTGTGTTATATCGTGGCATATGTCGTTACAATATCTTAAAGTATGACTAATGAGTAATGATGTCGCGGAGAACCTAACGGGTAACCGGGGCTCCGGCTCGACGTGCAGGAAAAGGAACGGGGTGGTTTTTAGTCAGTAAGAGTCTGACACTCCCTCCCGCCTCACCCAGGCGGGAGCAGTCATTCGATGATTTTTCCCCATTCGATGAGTTCAGGCCCTTACGTGCCCTGAGTCCGAAGGTACGAGTAGTAAAAATTGGAAAAGTTAGGCAAATCTAGGAACAGTGAGGTCACGTATTTTTTATCTTCTCTGGAATCAGACGAATGTTGATTTTTAACGTCGAATCTTTTTACGTTCATACGTGGCAGTCTGTTTCGTTATCGTACACCAAAAAATTCCAACGTACAATTTTGAAATCGAAGTACCTATCCTCTATCCTCATGTTTCACTATGATGTAATAGTTTTTCATTTACTTTTGCCGAATCCCTTTTCGGTTTTAAAAAATGGACATCTTTGATGGAACGGCGTGGAATGAAAACTGATAGCGGCACAGTACATGGAAAAATACTTGTTTTCATTGTCAACTGGACGTTGTCGAATGCCTGTTTCGTTTGAAATACGCATCCTTCTATGAATCTTTTGTAATTCGATAAATATTGCACACATTTTTGAGTATTTAATACAGACGGTCAATTATCTTATTCATCTTTAATGTTTGTATTTTAAATTTTGTTTTTTTATTTCATACACAGAACACTTATTATTTCATAGTTCGAAACATAATAATGTATTCAGGTTAAGGATTTTATATTTGAGGAACGATTTTTCGTTACCTCTATCTATGATGGGGTATTCACAAGCGTGATTTGTAGAGGTACATAATTAAAAATTTGGTATCTTTGACATTCGATTCTTAGGTAGTTTGAGTAAATTCTAATGTCAATTAACATTAGTCTCCTCCCTATTTTGAGCCTCGTGATAAATGACATGCCATTCAAAAATATTTGTTACCTTTGTTTGCTGGCTGCGTTAGGTACTAGAAGTTACTCGTTTTTAGTATTTTATAGAATTCTTTTTATAGGTAAGTACTTCTTCCTACTTAGTGTTTGTTGGTCTCCTTCTGGTTGGTACTGAAAAACTTTCTTTAATATTCTTAAATTTAAAAGAAACCGACGGACGTCTACAATGCACAACTTTCTTTGGAATACGGCTTAAAAAATAAATATTCTTTTCCACATTTAGTTTACAACTACTTTCATTGTCTTTTTTTTATTCGTTCAAAAATTGACTGGTGATTTGCAAACCTCACTATTTATTTCTGCGAAATTTTAATGCTCGCTGCGTGAGTTTTTATTTTTGCGATGAATAATAGGTACTAGTGAAAAACGAAAACATTTTCATGAATAGGAGACTATAATGTTCTTGTCGTTTATTTAAATTCCTTACCTACCCTTTGTATGTAGGTCCTTGAGTCGTGGCTGCTCTCAGGAATTTTATAATCAGGAATTTAAAATAAGCGATTAACTTGATTCTGCGAATTAGTGTAGTGGCTGGGCAACCGGCTACTACACAATGAGTCGCGGTCGCTGGTTCGATTCCTACGCGGGATTCTTTGTGATTCATAAATTCATTATTAAAAATATTATAGTTTTTACTGTTTTCAGCTAGGTACTATCTCGGAAGTCGGAAGACTTCATAGGAATTTTGTCACAGAGTTTTTGTGAATGTCTAGTTATATATTTTTTGTATTTGTAATATTGTTTGAATTTGGGAGCTGAATTCAGATCACTGTAACTAGCTTATCTAGAAATCCTTGAGAGAAGCCTATGATCAGCTGTAGATATCTTTTGCTGTTATGATTATGATTATTATTATTTAGGATTGTGACTTTCATAACTGTGTATTATAACTGTAAAAATTTGTAAATATTTTTTTAGATGGGCAAACCCAGAAAATATCTACGACACCACTTGCAACCCCGGTTCTTGCAGGGATCCGACGAACTTAATCATTAAAAAGGTCTCAGATGAGGATGGGGGTCTATACCGATGTCGTGTGCATTATGTAACTAAGCAAGCAACTGATCATTTAATCGAACTCCGAGTAGTCGGTAAGTACTTAGATGGTTTTAATTTAAGTTTATTATTTGAAAAAATTTATACTTATGTCTAAACGTATTGTATTGTACATATGTTCCTGTATTCATAGCACCGTTATTTCCAGTACTTAGATGGTTATTTTTTAGAATATGTGTTTTTCGAATATCTAATTTGATTTTATATTTCGCAGATCCTCCGGATACACCGACTATATTTGTTGACGGGCAGGAATTTCGCAGAATCACCGTAGGCCCACTTAGCATCGGGAGCAGTATAAATATAACTTGTAGTGTACAGAGGAGTACGTATCACAGTATTTTGGCCTGATTTATCTATAGAATTAACTAGAATAGAATATAATAAACTTTATTGTACACCATTTATAATATGGTACATACAGAAAAGGAAACACAAACATAAATAATAAATAAAAATGGGCACAAAGGCTGTCTAATCACATAAAGTGATTACTACCAGACAACCTTTGGGTGGATGTATAGAAAAAGAAAGTTTTGGTATAGTAGTTTAGTAATAGAAGTTTCAAGTCTTAGAGAGACTCTCCCTCAATGACTTGAAACAGTAAGCAGCTGGCCTTGGTCCCGGAATCCGCGGACACTGCTCATGAGGAAGTCCCTCTCTGACTTGAAAGTAGTAGAGCCTTCTTCAGTGTCTTACTCATATAAACCGGTATTTATAATGAAAATATTCAGATCTTTCCTCTAATTTTCTATCAATTCGTATTTAGCTCAGTTCATCTTTAGCAAGAGATGCTAATAAAATTAATCAATAAGGACAGCAAAACGAACTTCGAATCTGCATAAAACAAAAAAAAATAGTGGAATGTTGAGTATCTGGCCTAGTATCAGCAAGCATTCTCCGACCGACCAAGCACACTGAGCGTGCCGTGCTGCGACTTCAGTCAGTGTCGGCGTTGATGAAGCACAAAAACGATTATTCTACAATGGGAACTACACAAAATAACGACAAAATTTGCATTTAGATATCTATTGTCGTGAATACTACTTTGTAAATTGTAACATATTTGCAGAAATACCTACATATCATTTATAATTTAAAGGATTCTCAACTTAATTCTCAAATTTATATATGCCGCCACCATTCGCGTCATGTCACGCTACTCATCTTCGAAATGACAGTTTTCATTTTTTACCAGTTATGCTCATTCATGAGTCACCAGGCGCAATTCCAGATTTCATTCGAAAAACCGGAAACGCTTGCCCAACTCGGAAAACGAGCCCGAGACATCTTGTTTGACTCACTCGACTAAATCAGATTTTTAAATTTTGTGCGCCAATATCGATTAAACCCATTTACTTTGCAGAAGATACTGAGACCGAAGTTTATTGGCGACGCAATGGCGCTATAGTAAACTCATTACAAGTAATTACACCTCACAACCTGGTGCAAGCAGAATTATTTTTACAAAATTTAACGAGGAACGATGATAACACGCGTTTGGAATGTCTCATTCAGACTGCTGACGTGTCAGAACCCCTCATAAGGCCTCTTGTCGTACGGATGATCTGTAAGTATCACCTAAGGTTAAATAGATGGCGTTACACACAAACATTATAATATTATTTAACAAACCTTAAGGTTCAGTTCTGTTCTTAGGCGAGGGCAAGTGTGGTTCTACCATTAACTGCGTCCGTTTTTTGCTTTCTGATTTTATTGTGTAAGTTTCAAATGTGGCAATAATGCGTTACCTACTTGATTCTCTCTGAAGTCACTTGTTTTTTGTATAAGGATTAGCCGATGAGCAGATGGATCACTTGATGGTAAGCAACCGGCCTTTTGGCGGTGGGTTAAGGATTTGAGGATTAAGGAATTTGGGGTGGGTAATTGGGCCCCTAGTAATTTCACTAAAAAGGTTTCTATTACTGATCGTTAAATCAACACCTTAACACCGCAATGAATACCGTACCTTTCCTAAGATATTGGGTATAATCACAATAATCTATGTTTCGAGGCACACTTGCATATCGTGTCTTGTCGTGTCCGTCGCGTAATGCGGGTTATGTCGTGTATTTCTGTTTTAACTTTGTGTTTATTTTGCAGTACCCCCCCTGACCGTTTACATTAAGCTTGATGGGAACGAACAATTCGAAGTGGGGATCCCTCGCGTTTTGGAGTGTTTGGTCATAGGCAGCTTCCCAGCCCCCATCATCCATTGGACATTGGGCACCTCATTGCTAACAGCTACCGACTACGTGGTAAACTTAAAAAATAATCCTTACTAATACGGCCGTATCAGATTCGGCACCCATACAGGGACGTCGTATAGGACCATAGACCGCGTGGACCGCACTATGCCCGCGTACAAACTCCAGCAGGAAATGTTTAGCCCCTCAAGGTTGGGCAGGAGCCGCTTAAACGCAGCGCCCTTCCTTTCTAACTTAGGAGCCAAACGTTGGAAGTGCTAAGTTGCTAACGAAATTCCACCGACTATCGAGGACGAGATCTAGATACTACATCGTTGTCTCGACGCCGGTGATAACCTCTCCCGCCGTTATTTGGGATTAGGATTCACCTAGAGATGGTGCATGGCCTTGGTCTTGTGGAGCGCCACAACGACTGTCGCGACCGCTCTTGCTATTCTCGCCAGAAAGTTGAATGCGTGTTTAGATACCCCACCACTACGTCCTTACACCTGAACACTGCAGTCCTCATCGTGTCTCAAAGTGTCTTACACGGATGTTGGCGTCGACCGTGAGGTTTATTCCTAAAGTGAGAACATGCTTGTTAGTTGCAATGTTTGTTAATTAAAACCTAAAGTATCGACGTACCTACCTATATTTCCGAATGTCCAACGTACTATATGTATGTCATTGTAGAAGTTACAAGTTTATGTTTATTTGACTAATTTATTTATCTTTCATTTCTAGATTTTTAACGATGGGAATACGACGTCCTCTACCCTGACACTGTCAGTAGCGCAAAACGATAAAGGAAAAACTCTTACCTGCCGCGCTCACAACATGCTAATACCCACAGAGCAATTTGAAGATAAAGTGAATATTACAGTAGGCTGTAAGTAACAAGTAATATACTTTTGTTTTCATTTTGAGAGAAAAATGTCAATTGGAAAACCATGCAGTGATAAGGATTTAAAAGGGAATGTTACGCTGCTTTGGACATGTAGAAAGGATGGATGAAAGCAGATTTAAGAAAGAAGTATACAGAGCGAATATGAATGGGCTCGTCGGTAGAGGGCGCCCCTAGTTTTTACTATTCTATGTCCTAGATAAATACATATATCGACCAGAATTAGCAAAATATTAAGGAATGGTCAAATTAAAAGTACCCCGACTTTTGAGGATGCGAAAGAGGTATGTAAGAATCGTAGCAATTGACGTTTCATAGGCCCTGCGTACCCCCGTGAGAGATAGACGTGAGGTTATGTATGTATGTATTTTGTTCTGTGTCATTATTGGTTTACAAACGCTATGTTACAAAACAAAACAAGATACAACTGCTTTTTTTATCGATTGCCTATATTTGAGTACCTACAAAATGTCAATGTTTTCTCAAATTTTCCAGTCGCCCCCATCTGCGAGATTAGAAGAGTAGTTCCTGTCGGCGTAATCAAAAAAGAACCGGAGACCGTAACGTGTACCGTAAGAGCAGATCCAGAACCAGTACACTTCACATGGGTGTATAGCGATGGCCGGACGGCCATCACGAAGGGCACTGTAAGTAAAAAGTTTAAAACTAAGTATCGATTAGCGGCCGACATTAATGAATAAGTCATCGATCGATCCAAAATCAATGGGTCAATTTTACATTAGTTGTATGGAGTTTTATGAGTTTCTTTCATTCGTTTGTCAGAGTAACAAACATACATACCTATGGGAGGTATAGACATTTTGTTTCAAAACCACAGTGTTTCTAAAATTTCACCTTAAAAATTATCTTTTATCTTCGAAGAATATTCAATTGATCAATATTCTAAGATTTCATGTTGTGATGACTATCATATTCTACTGTGCCGTAAACTTAGGTATTTATTAATACTGTTTATTTCAGGTCCTCTCCGAAAACCGGTATTCGTCAAACCTGACCTGGCTACCTCGAGATGGCGACTTCGGGATACTTGAGTGCAAAGCATCGAATTCCTTTGGCATCCAGAGCATCTCTTGTTTTTATAACGTCATTCCAGGTGGCCCCCCCGTGCCACCAGAATGTGAAACAAAAAGCACTGAGGCCAGTCAACTTGACGTAGACTGTCGACTAGGTGAGATATATTTATTTTCTATATTTGTATTTACAGCAAAACGGGATGAATAGAAGTGTAAAGGTCTATAGATATAGGGGTAAACACCTATGTAGATACTACAACCATTTCCTAATTTCTATTCACCTGTTTTTTTATCAGCTTACCCCGTTTTTCCTTTAATGAAAAGTATCTTATATCCGTCTTCTGGTTTTGAGATACCTCCCCCACCAATTTTCAGCTAAATCGATTTAGCCGTTCTTGAGTTATAAATAGTGTAACTAGCACAACTTTTTATGCAAGGTATCCCGTAAATCGACGTCAAAATGGCACCAGATGATAAGCCAGGTTCCAACAATTATCAAAAAAATCTAAGTCACATAGTTTTTACATTGCATACATATCTTGACTTGACACTGTGAAAGGTCGGATATTTGGACCTACAAGCCTAAATTACCTTGCATAAATGCTGTCATTAGGCCGGCCTAAGACGTCCGGACGTCTTATTTTGATAGTCTAACCAATCCATGGAAGTAATACCTATGTATGTAGTATTAGTTCCATGATCTAATAAATTCGGTGTAAAAAGTGATTGTATACCTTTGCTCGCAAGTCTACATGTAAGTTTTCCAAAATACTCAGGGAATTCGCCTACTATAAAATTAAAATTGTCTTGGTGTTATCTAATTGATTTGTTTAAAGTGTCTGAAATTATAATATTCATGTTGTTTCTTAATTAATATATTGTTACTTGTCTCACAAAACGCCGGACAGGCCGAACACTTAAATGTTTCGCTGGACAAGAATGTAAAAGCCGAACATATCTGCATACATGCCATACATACATTGTAACTTAACTAAAAGCTTGTACAAAGACGAATTGGTTTATTAGGTGTTATAGCATATTACCATTTTACAGTGACAGCTCAGTTTAAAATTTACGTGGCCGCTATAATTAATTAAGACAGTATATAGTTCGATTGATAATTCCCCTTAACACCACGCGTGCTACCTCGGATGGAAAGTAGTATCTTACAATATACATCTACTCACAGTAGTACTTTTTAAGCGGATGTTCACCATAGTAGCTCCAACCTTTAATTTCAGTTCAATTCGTCGGAAATCTAAGAAGATTTAGTATACAAACGTTCATCACCTATTTTATCCCTTGGTCATTATAGCCTTAGAAACTGGGTAAGCCTTAATTATGGGGCGCCTCTTGCATTGATACTCTTGCGCCATCCCATCTTCCAACCTAAGCGTGTCGAATCGGTGTTGCCACTGCTGCTGCCGAGAAGCTTAAACGGCGAAAGAATTATAGCTTGATTGGCAATTATGGTTTCAAACCGTTTGGGGTTAAAACTTTAGGGCCATGAGTTCCAAGTCATTGCCATCCAACGTGACAATGTTGCCAGTATTTTAGGGACCCTACCTCACGACAATGATAACGATAACTTTTTGATGCGTTTAGTTAGTCTTCTCTTATGTTAATATTATGGAATATATACATAGATACAATAATATGACAGGTAGTTTATTATAGAATCCATATTTGAAATATCGCATTGTCAATTAGTTTAACTGACTTTACCTATATTTCTTTTTCAGACGAAAAGAAGAAAAACACTCCTTCAGACCCTGGATGGATGCCTTACGTCAAGGTTATCAGCGGCATGTTAATAATTGCGGCGGCAGTGGCTGTTATAGGGCTCAGCACACAAGTCTGCTACGTAAAACGGGACGAAGATTCTGAACCGGAGCTGGTACCTCGACATAACGGTATGTTGAATAATTTTACTTAGTACCGTTGAATATTCAGATTTCAGTCCAAATATCTAACGTGCTTTGTTTTTTTAGAATGTTTCCATCCCGAACCGGATATAGAAATGGAGAACATTTCCCTTGAGGCACCCAATACCGTAAGTCTATTAAAACACACTTAGAATCTACCAAAGTAATTACGTAGTCCCTTTAGTCAATAACAAATTAATTTCGATTTACCGAAAAAATTAGCTTTCATATTCTTATAGGGTTAATTTAAAACTTAAATTTTACTTATGACATCACCTTTATCTATGCTATATGCTATTAGTTGAAAAGTAATCAGCGCGTTGTTTTTCTCAATTGTTTTAAGTTTTTTCCATGGTCCATCTATTGAATAAATGAATATAGTTAATATGAAATGTTTCTTCTACAGCCATTTTGCTCGCCTGTGGTGCCGACCAGCCGCGTTATAATAGGCGGCCCTATCTCCCCTGCAGAAGAAGAATATGAAGAGGATGAGGATGACGACAGCCAGCGATCATTTTTCGTCTAAAGTAGCGTTCAAGACCAAAGTAATACCATTGAGGACCACAAGCTCAAATGTCCCCGACAATCCGAGCACAATAGATACCTAACTGTTTAACGACACAAAATAATTTATAGAACTAAGTACAATATTATATCTTCAGTCAATTTTAAATACAACTGTATTGCTATCAGTACAGTTGTATTTTTAATGTAACTATTACATTTTGTACTTATTGAATAGTGCGAGGATTGGTTCGATGCTTTGCTGGTCTTGACATCCAAGGCTAATGACTGATTTAGGCGCATAAGGCTTAAGATATGTCCGTATTAGGAATACGTAAACATAAGTTTATTATTGTTCTAATTAACATAACTGACAGCTCGAAACCTAAGACCAAGAATGGAGAAATAGCAATGGACTTACATTAAATACTATTTTCAAGAAAAAAAAAATACCTGAACCTTGGTTATCACCCGATGGTAAATCAAAGAACCAAATCGGCTTTGTAAGACCAACAAACAAATTCTTCGCAATTATGTATAATGTCATCAATAATCTAAACTTTAACACTAAGCACGGCATAGTCAGGATATGTCCTGATTGAACATGGGTTGGATTGACACAACCCAAAAATTCTGGATTAAAAAATACAAAGGATATAAAACTCCACAGATATCTCACTTGAGGAGCAGCTAACTTATTACATTCGAAATTCAAAGATTACAATAAGTCACAGAAGGCGTAACGGTAAAATGGGGTGAATAGGGTTTGAACGGCGAAAAGGGACAGAAGAGGGGTGAATCGATACCATAAAGAATTTCCTTATATCTATTCACCCCTCTTCTGTCTCTATTCACCTTATTCACCTCTCGATCCCTCTTCACCCCATTTTACTGTAGAAACTAGAAAGGGTGAATGGAATAAAATAGTCCACAATGGTACCTGTAGAGGGGGCACTACAACATTAGACAAGCGGGAATAATTTGGGGTAAAGCACTCAAATTCCCAAAAGTGCAATACAAAAATCCAAGGGCCAGAATGTAAAAGATTGCAGGAACCTTTGTCATCTGGTAAAACGCAAAAACGTACAGTGTTAAACTGAAATAAAAAGGAAATTTTGTTTCTATTTGCCGTTCTTCGTTATATTTCCACAAGGTGCCGCATACATGTCGCGGAGAACCTAACGGGTTACCGGGGCTCCGGCTCGGCGTGCAGGAGAAGGAACGGGGTGGTTTTAAGTCAGTAAGAGTCTGATACTCCCTCCCGCCTCACCCAGGCGGGAGAAGTCACTCGATGATTTTCCCCCCTTAAAAAAATGGTACCTATTCATATACGGTATATGTATATAAAGTTATTTATTAATACACTATATAATATGTAGTCATAATCAATAACTATAAATTGTGTGTAAAAATGTAATATACTTGTCATAAGTAGGATAGGAAGGGAAGTATTTGAAATTACTGTACAATTTTTAAAACTACGGAAATAAAATGTTCAACCTTATCTACACTAGATGGCTGATGTTTCATTTTCCCACTAAAGCATTATCCATTTCATTTTATTGGCTATATTTCGACAAAATTAAAAACGTCATTAGAAATTAGATATTATCAAAAAATCACTTATGTTATTATTCGCATTCTACCATAAAGGCACTCGGGGCCTGTACCCAGGGCCCCATTCTCAGGGGGGCCCGAAGGACCAACAATTTCAAGGACTGATACCCGTTTCCCGGGTTCGATTCCCGCACGGAGCAAATCTTTGAGTGATCCACAAATTGCTATTTCGGAGCTGGGTCTCATGTGTATGTGAACTTGTATGTTTGTAAATGCACCCACGACATAGGAGAAAATCAAAGTGTGGGGCAACGTTTTAAAAACAAAAAAATGGTAACTACAAATTAAAGCATTCTTAGATAAATCAGCTATGAAGTAGGATCTGTCATAATTTATCAAACGATGCTTGCGTTATTATAATTGTAATGCAAAAATAATAAATGATAACTTTAATGAAACAATTCATCAAAATATTGTCGTTGTTGCCATATACAAAATTAAGAGTGACAATTTGTCTCACAATAATTAATGACAAACGTGATCAAACGTCTTTGTGTGACAATGACAAAATAAATATTTTATTTTCTCTGCGAGTTTTTTATTTTAAATTGTACATACTAATTATTATTTATTTATCTTCTTATTTTTATAGTTCATATAGATATTAAGTACTACTAAAAATAATAACATGGGACTCATAGCATAAATAGTGAAAGTAGGTGTTACATTGTACAGTCATTAAGTGCCGTAATGTGGACCTCTGCTAAAGCCTTCGGGGATAAAAGACGGGACGTTAAGATTAAAAAAAAAGTTTTCTGACGTTTTGAATTTTTGACATTGTCATTGTCATTAACAATGACAATGTCAATTTAGACGCGAATTTACCGTTAATCTGTGGTTGACTTGACTGATTGTGGTGGAAGGAATCAAATGACGCTTTGTGAAACGGTAAGTTTACATGTTTACATGCATATTTATATTTCAATTTCTATATTTATCAAAGAAAAATGTGTTTGGTGCTTTATTACGATATTTAAATTAATTAAACTTGAGCATAGGTAACACAATTGATTGTGTAATTAATTTTGTGTGGTACTCACCACGCCCTACATTTTCAACCGTTGTCTGGCATTAGGCGCGGTCGGTGCTCGCACCAAAACAGGTCTCAATATTGGTTCTTGACTGAGATTTTTTCTTCAACAGGTTGGCACCAGTTTGTAAAGAATGTCGGCACCTGAAATTAATGCTTACTTTACAGGGAACGGGACGTACAAGCCTATAAACCCGATTGTCTCGAAAGTTGGTGATTTCACGCCGTTTTACATTGCCATTGCAATCTGCTCGGTGATTCTCGGCTTCCTGATCATACTGAACGTGGTGTGCTGCTGTTCCAGGTACTCAGAGTACTGGCTTGACAGACATACAGGTGAGTTTCAACTTGTAACTACATAATGCCACTGTGCGACACAAAACTGTATGAAACTTCTAATTATATGTAGACATCCTATATTTTCCATCTTTGATATTTTTCTTGCATTCTATAGTGTTTTATGCTTTAATGTTGTAGTTACATCTCAACAGATGAGATTACACAATCATAGAGCTACTTTAAGCCATTCAATGAAGTTATAAGCAAAACTATTATGTTCCCATAATGTCTTATAAGAATATCAAATAAGATCTTATTCATTCCATCCTGAATTGGTCAAACTTAAACCTGTAGTTTTTTAAGCTAACCAACATTTTCCTTATATCAGCTCTTGTACTTTACAGGTAATCGCTGGATCGTGTCAATCTGGTCAGCAACTCCACACAAGCAGCCACCACTGGACTTCACAGAGCTCGAGAGCAACTTCCAACAAGTACACTATGTGCATCCCTACGGAGAAGACAGTGAAGAGTACCGTGACATCCACAAACACAGCGTCCCACCGTCAGTGTCTCAACAGCCACTGACTTCTTCCCAGGAGTACTTGGAGTTGCACAAGAGGGAGAGTGACATTTAGAATGGCGTTCTTAATGCTTTATCCTGCAGTAGCAGTTCTCTCTATGTTCGTACTGATGGTTATCATATTAATTCTAAGATTTGGAGCTCGCTGGTGCAAGCTCCGTCATAATACACTGGCTGACCAAGAATATTGGAATGAGGATGATGCATATGAACAAAAAGTTTCATATGCCTAAGTTTTCTTTTTTTTATTTTTTTTACTAACATTCCATGCGTATCATTAGATTAGATGTGGCAATATATGCAATAAGCTAAATAATTAGTTAGCAATTCTTGTGTCAATTAGCCAATCAGTATTTCAATGTCCATTAGGTACTTATTATCTACATTCCCATTTTATATACTTTATTTTACCTTGGTAACTATTTTTTTTATTATATATAAGTTGTTTAAGTTCATGAACCCGTCCAATATAGATCTTATAGACTTAATATTTTATTGGTCTATTGCAATTAATCAGAAGTATTCTTCAACTTAATTTTACACATGTTATGCCAACATTTTGTTGTATTTTTATAATAACAGACTCTTATAAATTCTATTAACTCTTTTTAAATACAGAGTGTTTTTATGATTTTAATTTTTAATACATTATGTCTCTTTTGCCTTATAGTGTTTAGGGTAAAATTTTACATAGAATAGTTATATATTATGCAATTTTCACACTAGTTGTGTACTCTTTTACATAAAATCTGAAAATGACTGTCTATGATTCTATGTTTAACAATAATTATATAATGTTATGTAGGCTTCAATAGAAATGTAAGTTTATATGTCAATGAACTGGTATTTTTAGTGTAATAGAATCAAGCATTTCTCGAATATTGCATTTGAAAACGACATGTAATCCGTCCAATAAATTAAGGTTTAAGTACTAAATAACTTGTTTCATTTCACGTCACACACCATGGGCGTCACCAGTGACCGACATTAGCGAAAGATTTGCCTTCAAATGTTTTTTATTGGCAGTCAAGGGCTTAACAACTGATCACTCTTGTCAAAAGTTAAATGCCATCAGATTAGGTACTGCATTACAGCACACAACTGCAACTGCATACAGTTATAATATCAACTTACACCATTGCTTGTCTGCGGTTGTATGATGTTGATTTTAACTAGGTATATGTCAATGTAACCAATATAGCGTAGTGCTGCTGATGGCATTGGCAGTGTGTGAACTACCCTTCTGTCTTAAAAAGTACTAGTCTAGGTACAAAGATGGCAAGTTAGAAACTAGGTAAAATATATGTTGACCGTTTTTAACTGATTAACAATAATGCAGTAAGAAAATTAATTACTCTTCAGAGCCTTATGTTTTGTTTAAGATTCGAATCAGGCAATGCCTGCCTACTCCATGTGGAGTGCCTGTGTCTGACTGGGGATTTTCGAACGACGATTTTTTTGTACCTATTATAAAACCTCTTGATAATGATGATCTATTGACACTGCGATGCCATAAAAGCAACCGGGAACTTCTAAGTACCTACATAATAAATATATTTGTGTAATCTATTTATACGTAGCCTATCTATTATTTCTTGCTTGTATGACACAAGCTGTGTCACTTGCACTTGAGCCCAAAGGCTATTAGGTACATTCCGTCCAGGCAAGGACTTGACTTGTTATTAATTCCTTACCTACATTTATGTATTAAGGTACACAATGCATAAAGTATTAATGAATTTTTATATTTACAATAATTCTTGGTATGTTGACTGTAGATTAACACGTGGTATGCGGAGCGCATATTATGCGAGACACAAACGATGTTCTAATGTGTGTGTGGTGTCTCATATACCAATATACAAGAGGTTAATTGTCCTGAAAGTAAATTCATATTGCAACAGGCTTGCTCCATATTGTATGGGAGAATGAAGTGAAGCAGTGTGGGAGAGCCATGCTTCAGCACTAATGGCCCGGCTCGACCGGAGTGATACCAGGGCCTCACAGAAAACTGACGAGGTCAACCCATACGTTGTTTCTTCGTGTGAGTGACGTTACCAGAAGCCCAATTAGCCCTCTCTGCCTTTCCAGAACTAAATATATGATGTTCTGTTAAAAAGATAAATCCTTGTAGATTCTAAAGGCAGTTGTATGTTTAATAAATATTAGGCGCTAATAACATAATAATATCACATTCTCTTTCTGGAGCCCTGTCCACCAGTACCTTGGATTTCTCCCGTTACTAGTGGACTATGGTTTTTTTTTATATATTTTCTTTGTGCGATAAATAAATAAAGAGAATATCATATAAAAATAGTACTCCCAACACCTGAAATCAATGTTTATTTCAATTAACATGCTATTATAAACAGCACATTAAAAAGTTACCAAATAAGTTTCTATAGCAAAGTACAGTATTGTTTCACTCAACAAAATATTGTTCATTCTCCTTTTAGTTAATTGTTACTATTAAAAATAATACATTATCCCTTGGTAGGTACCTATCACTTACTAAAAACTGGGGAAAACTCTAATATTCATTCGAATCGTTTCAGATACATATATATATTCAAGTGAATCTTTTTTATTTTTTTTGAATTTCAATCTCATATGACATTGATTTTTAAATTGACATTCTTGACTTTAATTAACTAAATTTGTTTCTTTGTATTAATTCAAGTAAAATATGATATGGAGGGGTAACGGACTATTTGGTTTAAGCGACATTTTGGGCGATATTGAGTTATTATATATATTCGGCGGAGAAAAATTCGCTGATTCCGAATATATATATAACTCAATATCGACCAAAAGTAAGGCGAAACATAGTGTAACTAAACCTGTTTTTAACATGAGAACATCCATGTAATACTACCTATGTTACAAATAAATAAATGATAATGATTAATTCACAACAAAAATCTGGCCTATGCAATACACTGAAACAAACAACAGCTATTTACATGCAATTATTTTATTTATTTAGTAAGTAAGTTATGAAAAAACATACATTTATAATTAAACATTAATTACAGAGTTCAAAAAAGGAGGAAGTACTATGTTCGGCTAATAGTTTTTTTTTTCGTTTGTTCGCGCAGTACCCGCCATTTGTGAACCGATTTCGAAAATTCTTGTTTTGATTGAAAGGGTATACTCCCGAGATGGTCCCATTTCTATGAGGTCAGGATCTGATGATGGGATCCTAGGGAAATCGAGACGAACTTTCGAAAATTCTAGGGGCGAGTAATGCGTGTATTATGTTTTTCAATTAGGATTTTTAAACTTTGATAAATGTCTGGAGTCGACCTGATGATGGAGCCGACAGACAGTCGAGAGAACTTCTCAGCGGTATTAACCGTATTAATATTAACTATAAACTGAGTTTGATTAATTTGTATTGATGAGAATTTTATACCTAGATAGAGTTCGGCTTAAGGGTCTGATGATGAAGAAGTGTAATTGTTAAGGGAACTCCTCAACGGTATACAGTAACTACCTTGTGTTTGGGCTTGTTTATTTTGTATTGATTAGAACTTTGCACCTATGCAGATTATAAGTGACAAAACGGATCTATGTAGCTTTACACTGAAAATGATAAAATAATAAAATAAAAACTGCGTTTAAAAAACCGACTTCACAAAACCAAAAAGTAATAACAAACAAAAAGACAAAACTAAAAAGAAAAAAATAACTATCATTAGTACCTACTGATAGGTTACCCACCCACTGAGGTTAGAAGTCGGTGCCATAAGCTCATATTATCATAATGTTAGAACTTAATGGCCACAAAATTGTAAAATAGGTACCTATCTATTAAGGCTTTAATAAATAATTTTGTATAGATTTATGACGCAGACTTCTAACCTCAGTGGGTGGGTAACCTATCAGTACTGATAGTTATTTTTTCTTTTTAGATTTGACTTTTTGTTTGTTATTAGTTTTTGTTTTTTTGAAGTCAGTTTTTTTTACAATTTCTGTTATTGTATTAGCATAACTTGGTATCCAATATATTATGTACAGAATATTATGTATATTGCATGTAACATCGAATTTTTGAAACGAGAATGCAAAAAATCTCAGCATGGAATAAAATAATTTATTTATGAATAATATAATAGACCAGAAGTAAAATTACACTATTTGATTATGCCAAAACCATAACCGTATGGGTCAGTAGGCAGGTGCAGGATATTACATTTTATATGGCAGGTTGGCAGGGCATGTGAATAATTGACATTGTTTTTGGTTGCTATGTTTGTTACTAATCAAAGTGATGAACAATTGTAGTAAGAAATAACATTTTCGAAAATTTCAAGCAATGCCCCCAAACCTATAAGATTTTTCAAAATATTATCATACCACAATGTGATGTTGCTAAGAAAACCAATATAAATTAACTGATAAATGACAATGACCAAATTTGTATGGAGTGTGGTGCCTTTCCAATTTTTGCGGCAGTTGGTCGGTTGAGTAGAATCTGATGAACCAAAGTAAAATGTTCGACTCCAGCTCCTTTCAATACTCATAACTCAGTCCAGACTGAGATTTCCATATATGCAATTTCATTTGTAATGTCATTCTAGATAATATTTTCCATAAATCATCAACTGCCGCCAGAAAAAAGAAAGGCACCAATTTTAGTCAAAGCCCTTTGCAGGAAGATCATACAACATGAGACTATGATCCGAATATTTTTGGATCAACCATGTATACCTATACTTTACTTTGCCACAAGTAATTATTTTAATCGATTCTGGGTCTTTGCTCAATACATTTTTGGCCATTGTCCTTTATACAGATTAAAATTGGCAACCTTTGAATTGAATTTTGTTAAGTTAATACCAGTAATGTATCACACACTGCAGAAGCATGAGATTAACTTAGTCTAGCACTAAATACTGAAGTCCAAACTTTGAAAGAAGTTCCTTCTATTTCGGGATGTATGCCTTATCTATTTTGACATCATCAACTGGGCAATCATTTTTGTCACACTCAACTAAACCTATTCTCTTCACTACAGCCATCCCAGACTGGACTCTACCAAAGATTGCGTGCTTTCCATCAAGCCACTGCGTAGGAGCTAACGTGATAAAGAACTGAGACCCATTAGAGTCGGGTCCAGCATTTGCCATAGATAACACTCCGGCTCCAGTGTGCTTCAAGTCTGATGCAATTTCATCATCAAACGTCGGTCCATATATAGATTGGCCACCCTTCCCCGTACCAGTAGGATCACCTCCTTGTATCATAAAATCCCTTATGACTCTGTGGAATTTGGTATTGTTGTAGTAACCGCGGCGAACCAATTCCATAAAATTTCGACATGTTATTGGTGCGTGTTTCCAGTACATCTCCACAACCACCGGGCCCATACTGAAAATAATATATTAAGGCTATAAGACAACAAAGAAAATAAAAGCTTGTAAAATCTAGAACTACTTATAACCTAAATCACAAAAGTTTTATAAATAAGTAGTGTCTTACGTTGTTTCTAACACAGCAACAGGCGGCTGCCATGATTTATCAGGTATTCCAGCGTTAGAAAAACCAAGCATGATGTTGTGGATATAATTAATTTCCCAAAACTCTAGTCTAAATTCGGACTCCGTTGTAAAATAAAAATTTAAATCACACGCAAACGCAAAATGTACCGCTTGTTGGCATCAACAATTATGACTTTGACAAATGACAGTTGACAGTTGGTTTCAGGTGACAGGTGTGTACGATTTTAGGTCTACACTATGAAACTTGAATATTTAGTTTTTAGCTGTAGTAGACAAAGTGTCTTTATATTTGAAATCATTGCATACCACGTATATTGCAACGAAATGCTTAAAGAACATAACAACATTGAAAATGTGCGTGGGTCTAGGTAGCAATAAACTGACCTCGGTTTATTTTTTTGTTTTCTTACAATCCAGTTCTACGATAGGTTCTAGTAAATTAATCTATTACTCGCTTACTTCTTTATTCTTTAACTAATAATGGCCTCTTAATATCTCTAATCTTATATCTGTGCAGCCACCAGATACTTAGAATGCTACTTCACACTGTAATGCTATAAGTGCTCCCATATGATAAAATTAATACCTCGTCCTCCTTTAATAATTAATTTTTCATATGGTATAGAATTATAATACATATTTATGGAATTATTAAAACCGTTTATATTAGACTTTAGAGATTGCGTTTTAGTGGTTAGAACTATATAAAATCGAATACCTCGAATGGCTGCAGCAAACTTTGCATACTTTTTATTTCCGTTATTGTTGAGACGTCGGGACAAGCAAGAGTTACGTGAAATAAATAAAAAATAAAGTTCACCTTGAAAGTAAAGCTAAACCACTGCAACATAATGACAATGAGTTAATGAGTGTTGTTTTAACAACACAGTACACTAACTAACCAAGTACAACTTTTACAATAAAAAGGCTATGTATCGTTGAATTTAGAGTTATATTTTGTATAAAATTATCTGTTTTATTTTTCTTATAAGATTTTTAAGCATTTTCATTTTATTACATGCGTGCTAGTTTGTCGAAAAAAAATTTTTACTATTTTAGGATACAATTATTAAGCTGTGGTTCTGTCTAAATCTGCCTGCCAGACTGTTTTGTCTGTCACCTCTCCTGATTACCAAATTTTAAGTAAACCACAGAGACAAACGTTAAATTTCCAATCGCAGATTGTGGCATTCTCTATATTTGTTTACTTTTGGTCTCGTATTTTTATTTCGTTTAGTGACCGTGACGTAAGAAAACGTTGTTGATGTGCCAACAGGGTTTTGTAAGGCTGTTGTAACATAATTTCGTTCGAAGGAAGTGACATTTCGAAGAGTTTAGTTTACGTACAGTAACTTGGTGATAACGAAATTGAAAAGGTGTGGGTGTATCTGCGATGGAATCAGAACATCAGCCAAAATTGAGTCCTGTGAGGGCTTTCCAAGGTTTGTAAAGATATCTGCAGAGGTGTGACGTAGGTATGTAAATATTCGTGTCAATGATGTTATTGTTTTATTTCTCAGTGCTCCATGGGTGCAACCCTGAAGTTGAGGAGACGTACACCAGTCTTTCCGAGTACCATGACTACGAGCCAAGCTTGGAGTTCGATGATTCAGAGCTTATCCAGACATCAGGCTTAGGTAAGCTAGAACTAAATGTCAGGGTAAAGGTTACTATGAAGTTCACTAGGCTAGGTACGTAGGTAGGTATATTTGAACTATAGATACTTTAGACAAGTTGTTTTACGCAATTTATGATTGCATGTTTACAATGTTCTTTGTTATTCAAACCACTTCTAATTACCCACACCACCACTTAATTTATTTGAGATTCTTTGCATAAAGTGGGTCAAATCTGCTTAAGAATATCATAATTGTTACAATACTTTACACTTGCTCAACCAGCCTGTGTTAGGAGGTACACAACGTTTAAGTACTACAGCATTTTGCTTAATATTAACAAATAAAATTAAGTATACAGTAATCCATATAATTTTTAAAGTAATAAGAAACTATTATAGTTGCTCAACTACTTAAAAGCTACTGCATTTGCTGAATTGACATTTCATCGAAGTGATCTATCAAGTACCACAATTAAGTATTGCAATAGTAAAGGTGTAATTGCTATGCATAGCAATCACATTTCCTATAAATGGTAATGAGTCATTCAACAAGTACTTTATAAAGATCATTTGTAGGAACATTTTGATACTTTTGTACTGTGGCTAACTAAACACAATACTTGCATTTGCGACTTTTCGTTACTCTCTTATTAAACAAACAATAGTGCATTGAATTGATTGAACTGTTCTGATGTAATGGGCACCATAAAAGTTAAGTCATTGACATCCTGTATGCAACACTCTACAAATAAGGAAAACTGCTCATAAATTACAAAATAATGGGAGGAAATAAGTGTGTAATTGAAAAGAAGTTATTTCAGTTTTGTTGCAAAATGTGATGCATTAAGTTACTAGAAGCAGTGACATGAAATTTTTCCGTTAGTGGAGATTTTAACACTGGTTTTGTTATAAGTCCTGTATACAGAGCAAGTGTTCTGCTAAACAAACCATTATGTCCAGACTGAAATATTACTTCTGATTTGAATATCCCTAGCATAATATTCTTTTAATTAATTACGCATTAACTACAAGCTAGCGTGCTTGCTATTTATACTTTTATTTTCTAAGAATAAATCGTTCAAGTTTGCTAAAACTGTTCACATGACATCTCACATAATGTACATATATATATTCATACATACTTACACAGATAATACAGATCATCATGTCTATCCCCTATTGGGCAGACCTCTCACATGTCTCATAGCAGCTTCTGCTAGTGGCTTCGCCCACAATCTCATAGGATAAAATGATGTTATTCCAAACCATACTCTATACCGATATTGTATCATTTCGTAAACAAGAAAAATACAACAGGAAGTGATATGAATCATGTCTAGTCCAACAGTTGATGTTGTTGTATTAATAAAATGATGAGTAATTACTGATAATGATATCAGAGGATTAATTTGTTAAATCTGAGCTACTTTGTCATACGCATATAACTCAAAGTGGTCACAGCTACAACTTGGGTATTTCACTCAATCAAAAACAGGTTTTTAACTTTACAATACAATAAAATATCCAAGAATATTTTAGCACATATTAACCCTTTGAGTACCGTCATTATAGACACAATCAAAGAAATTATAAACGTCATTATAAACGAAAAAGAAACTCGTACTAAGGCCTCTGATTGGTTGGTTCATTGGAGCCGGCCAATCACAACGTCGAACGCGTACTCGTTACGATTACTTTGAACGTATAAGAAACTCGTATTAAGGCCTCTGATTGTTTGGTTCATTAGAGCCGGCCAATTACAGCGCCGAACGCGTCCTCGTAACGATTACTTTAAACGTAATACAAACTCGTACTAAAGCCTCAGAGCGCCGGACGCCGTCTCGTTTCGATTACTATACACGAAAAAAAAAAAAAAATTCGTACTAAGGCCTCAGTTGTTCGGCAAACAGTTTGTGAGGTATCCACATGATTCCTAAACATCGATGTTGTGTTTGATATTTGCGTGATCTAGCGTGTAGGGCGGACATATTGATTTAACGATGCACTGATGAAATGAAAGTTAATTTACGTATTGTTCTATGACATTTTTAAGCTGTTTGATACAAAAAGTATGTCGTCCTAGTATTTGTAAAATTCATAGACATTTCGAAATAGGTACTTAATGTGACACGTTGCATTGGAAAGTGCCCTATTACGTATTTTACTGAAGACAGTTATAAATGCTATTAAAGATATTACAGCGCCATCTATTAGCTCCGCGACCTATAATTAATATGCGAGGTACAATGTATAATACCGTGCTATAGCGCGGGAATGAGATAATTTCTCGCAATAAAAGTAGCATTATGTCATTTCTCCATGCAACTGATTACACTTATTCGTGATTCGGTTTTAGCGTAAAGGGAGAAACAAACAGAACATGTTGATGTATTCCTGTAGTACTTACGCTACGTATAATATTTTTTTATTATTGGACGTGCGCGAGTTCGTTCGCTAGCGTGGGTGCTTAGTAATGAGTTTCGGTTTTGATTTCCAAATCTGGCAATGTTTTGTTGGATTTATTGGGCCCTTCAGAAATGGACCTCCTGTTACAAGTCTCTCATTGGCAAAAAGTGTAAGTTCTTTAACAGACCGTGAATGCCTCTGCCTACCCCTTTGAATAATAATTGTATCACATCATCAGCCTTTATGTGGCCACTTCTGACGAAAGGCCTTTCTCACACGGAGTAAATTTGAGCATTATTCACCACGCTTACTGAATTCGGGTTGGTGAATTAAAAGCATATTGCAGTACAATACATCATATTAATAAACACAATGTTTTACTTTTCTCCTCTTTTAATCAATGCCGCTATACTTATTAGCTATTATGTTCGTTTTCATTCAGTATTCCTTTATTTTACCATATATAACGTTAGCATTCTCATAATTAATGATTCAATGTAAATACGTACGAACTCTAAGTAAACATTGGTGCTTTACGAATGACTTTTTGTAAAGATACCAGGTTATCACGCTACGGTAAAATGTGTTTATTCAATAGATTTTCATTGAATTTGTTCTTTCATGTGATTTTGGTTCCTTTGTTGCAATTTTTTAAAGACGTTGTTCCATCCAACCTAGAATTTTTTGCGTGTCATATACAGAGTGGAATTTTGTAATGACACGGACACTTGAAGAGGAAGGACTTAAGATAAAAAATTTACTAAAAGAAAACATTCCTTTATTGTTAAAAAGAAACAACTGCAATCTAAGATTTTTAAAAATTAACCTGCCTCACACGGTAATCAATGCATTAACTGTACAGCGTGCAACTTTGACAGATTTCAGTCGGTTCGATTACCATACCAAATGTTTTAATGAAGTTATGTTTCTTTTCAAAAATAAAGGAATGTTTTCTTTGAGTAAAATTTTCTATCTTAAGTATTAAGAGTATTTCCCCTTCAGGTGGCTTTACAAAATTCCACCCTGTATAGTCTCTCATATATGGTCATATACATATATATCACATATCATGTATGGTCTCTCAGACCGAGAACAACAAGAATTTGTTCCTACATCCGGGCGACAATTCAACTCGCGACACATTGTTCAGTCGCTGTTCGGCCAATGGCATTGTGTGCATTGTGACCATTTTGCACGCATTAACTGCAAAATAGCTCTTATATCCCGTCCAATAATCCATACGTTATTGGTTTGGCCATATATGACTGATATGGCTGCGCAATTACTTGCCAATCGTCCAGCGGTTACCACAATACATTTGTCACTTCTCTACGAATGTTTTAAGAGTCGACCAAGGGTGTACGTGTTTTAGAGAGGCCGGGCAGCAACGCTCTCTGTTTCACCGATTTCTATCGTTTGCTGAGCGTGGAGATTATGGTACACTCATCTTTTGTAGAGGAGGCCTATATTCCAGTTGTGGTCTCTAGTGGCCTGCTGATGATGATAAATGCACCAACATCATCCGCACAGGCTGTCAGTCCACTTCTGCATTTTGGGTCTCTCCTACATAAATATTTGCACGCTTAGCAGATGTTAAGATGTTAATATAAAAGATTCAATCAGAGATCGCTGTGACACAGTCTCTAACAAATATATAGTCTCAACAGCGCGATCCAATCTCCAATGGCACGCCACTGAGCTCGGTCTTCAGCTCTACGCATCCAACCACTACCAGCCACTTTACGTATATCGTCACTCCACCTAGCTGGAGGGCGCCCTACACTACGTTTGCCTAGACGCGGTCTCCACTCCAGAACACGTCTACTCCAGCGGTTATCGGTTCTTCGACAAATGTGACCGGCCCACTGCCATTTCAGATTGCTAATCCTTTAAGCTACATCGGTAACTTTAGTTCTCTGTCGGATCACCTATGTATAGTCTAATACGGCCGAAATTAGTAACTCATCTCAATCTTATATCTGTGGCAAGTAGTGATGATTCGCCGGTTCTGGCTCATGAATTTCCAGGCTCCAGACCGCCTAGAATGCCGGGAATCAGTTGCACCAAACCTAAAAAAAAAAAAAAAAAAAAAAAAAAAAAAAAAAAAAAAAAAAAAGGTTTTGGCATGCTCTGATCACGTTTCTGCAATCCTTTTTAGCGTCCGATGCGTGGTTCTGGAGTTATGCAAATCGATTGCAAATCAATTTATTGTATCTATTAATTAATTATCTCATTAATTAATTAATGACATAATTAACCCTCATTATGGTTGATTTCCTATGTCATCAATAAAACACAACCGTTCATTTTTAACTTTTTATTTCATTACTTTTCTACAAAATATGAGTGGAACATCTCATCCACAAAAATATCATTGTACAGTGTGTTTCCTGTAAATATGTTCGTAAAACTATTCATTGAACATCCTTGAAACTTAAATAGCAAATACATTAAGCAATATTCACCACAAACTGAAGTCCAATCATTCTGAATCCTATCAACATTCCAGTCCCATCTCTTACAATTCCTTTTCAAAAACTGAAGATGATATCGCTCAGGTGTTCGTCCATATGAATCAAAATATTGACCGATGCCATTCACATCGATATGTAC